AGTGACACGTCCCCACTTTGTATCCTATTTAGCTGATGGAGCATGTGTTTTTAGAAATATCATTGGTTTGCGTCTCTCTGTTCTCCATTTTCACTACTTTACCTTTAAAATCTTAAAAAATTGTGTTACTTTTACGGCAGACCAAATTGTGGAACACATCCTCTTGCAATGAGGGACACATAATCTCAAAAGACATGGAACGTGCCCAGCCCCATTAACACTATAATATTAAGAGAAGCCGTTCGGGCCAACAGAGGAACCAAGCAGAACGACATCTTAGACTTTGTGTGGATAGAGGATGGGATTCTTCTTCTTTTTTTTTGGTTAGTTTTTTAATTTCAGATGGAAAACCACTAAAACTTGTAAATGATTGGGTGGCTCGATATAATAATAGTTACGCTTATTTCATGGAGTATGAACAGAGTTGACCAACTCTATTTGTTCTTACTTTACTTACTTTGTGTTACCTTTTCATTTACTCTAACTTCATTCCCCTTACCTTTAACTTTTTTGTAACGCTACTTGCTTTGCCTAAATTTCGTTACTTCTCTTTGAGTAACGTAGAGGTAATGGCGTATTGAAATGTTTTGGAATTAACGTGTCACCATAGCTCAAGAATCATGTTTGGGCGACATAGTGAAAACTCGGAGAGTATGTCTCTCCTTCTCCAAATTTTAATTAGACATGTGCTCCAGTCCCAAAGTGAACCACGAGTCTGACAAACATTTAGGTAAATTTTTCATCATAAGTTGCGTTAACGATAATTACGCTATATAGTTGTTGTTTATTCTGACTCTGGTTTTTTATCTTCAGGATGTTAGAAAATTGTGACAGACATTATGTTTTATCGTTTCACACCTCACATTAACAAGCAGTCTTGCGGGAAGGCAGTGGAGAGGTGTCTGATGAAAAGGAGCACTAGGTAAATATGTTATACACAGGCAAACCAGTGATTGTGATGCATATAAAGATGTCATAAAGCCCCAGAAATGAACGTCTATTTCACATGCTGTCTTAGCTCACAGAATAAATAGAGGTTGCAACTGGTCTTTTTACCCCC